TTTTGGTGGGGGGGTGGTGGATTTCAATGCATTATGGATTTATAGAATCAAACCAATCGAAACACACCACCACCACCACCACCACCAACAACAACAAACAACAACAACAACGTCTATATTGTTATCATTATCCCCATATTCAATTTTGATTTTGTCATTTTCATCGACTTCCTTGAGTCATTACAGAAACATTGTTCATATGTCTCCTCCTGCCAACACTTCTCTCTTTTAAAAATTTAATAAGCATTTTTGGTGGCCTTAAGGAGTAGTAATGGCCCCATTAAAATAAAAGCTTTTGAATCAGGGCGTGAGAGATTGTATGCATTTTAAACTTATATTTTATACTTATAAATATTACATGAATAATATTCTAAAAACGATTTGCACTTCTTACAATGCAAACTTATTAAATAAATTATGAATTTTTGCCCGCGTCCATGGTAACAATTTTTTTTTTTAAATTTGTATTCAGTATTTCATTTTTTTTTTTTTTTTTTTCAGATTCCACCATCATTGATTTTGGGATGTGTGTGGAATATAGCATTTATCAGCGTGGAAAAAAACAACAAAAAAAAATTAAATAAATAAAAACAAAAAACTCGAAGCGCCGAGTTCGAATTCTAACCGTGTCTGTTTAGTTCATTTTGCGCTAATGCACTTGCAAAAGGCATGAATCAGCCTTCAGCCAGCTATGGGTTAAATAACAGGGCAGATCGAGCTTTATTGCCTTGGAAAGCGGCCAGTGTACGAGAAAGGAAAACTTCCAGTTCAAGACTTACAATCTGTTGTTTGTTGCCTGGAGGTAAGAGGGGCGCCTTCCAAATGTTCCCCACTCTCTAGAGAAACGCCAGGGAGAGCAAATACTCAGGCTGGCACTCCAAAGATACCACAGGTGAATCTCGATATATATATATATATATATATATATAACAGGAGCACCAGACCAGATATGGCAGCAATATTCAATGTACGGAAGAATGGTAGATTTATAAATATGCAAGATGAATTCTGACGAGAAAAAAAATGCCTGGCACGATACAGTGAACAAACCTTCCCAGAAACATCCCTAGACGTTAATTAAATATAATCCCTACACTAAATGCCAGTAGAATCGTAAGACCAAGGAAACGCAATGTGGTTCTAACCTGGAGGTTAGAATCAGCCATGTTGATGGAGGGCAAAAAATGGTTCTCTATGATGATTAAAAGTTACACGTTAACATTTCACGGGTTTACGATTTTCTAATGTATAATCATTCTTAAGTTAAGTTCGTTACGATGTCTACGGCTATAAATACGCCTGGAAAATCCCCTTTTGTCTCGATGAATATTTGAACATAACAACTTTAATAAAATATTGCAATAATAATGATAAGTATGAATGCAGGTCCCTATTTAAAGAAGTAAGAGGGTACAAATTAAAAGAGTCAACATTTTTTCTATTTTACTGAAACAGTCGTTAAGTACATGAGAGCGTTATAAGCTTATATTTTATACTTATAAATATTACATGAATAATATTCTAAAAACGATTTGCACTTCTTACAACGCAAACTTATTATGAATTTTTGAAGAAGATAATTCTCTTCCTTCTTTTTCCTTTCTTTCTTTCTTTCTTCAATATCATCTCAAACTATTTCCCTTTCTTTCTTTCTTTCTTTATTTCTTTCTTTCTTTCTTTCTTTCTTTCGTTGAAACTAAACAGCGTCTCTGATATATCGTTTCCGTCTTTCCTCACGACCAAAACGGAATAGTCCATAATTTAAGAGGTTTTGGCAGGGCGTAACGGTCGTGCTAACTAACTAAGGAACAAGCAGAATTATAATACGATCATTTTAATAGTGGAAATAATTATTATACATGTATTACAAAAGATTAGTTACTTTCCATCCATTGTCGGTTAATACCTTCTGGCAAAGGAAGAGGTAAAACAAATCTCAAAATATCCCCAACTGGGCAGAACATCAGATCCACACCCTATTTGGCCCCAAGAACTCGACATATACACGAGTATGTACGGTATCTATAGATGCAAATAAAAAGAGGGCAGATTTCCTCTCATATTTCTGGACAGCAGCAAAAGAAAGACAGATGTACAAAACGACCGACATCTATAAATAGGATTTTTATCACTTTAAACGTTATTTTTAGTGGTTACTCATATTTGAGTAGACGTTCCATTTATTTATTAAACAGTATATTTTTTATTTAGTTTATAGGCACGTTTCAAAGTGCGGATTGAGGAAAGGCAGCTCCGTAGCTGAGACGGTTAAGACACGTCGTATTCTCACGGCGGTTTACCTCAGTCCAGAGGTACGCAAGTTTGAATCGCACCAAAGCTCACATATTATTGTTAATAAGATTTCTCGAATATTCAGGTTGACTGACGAAAATAAATAAATACACTGTTTAATAAATAAATGTAGAGTCTACTCGGATATGCGTATTCACTAAAATTGACGCGATAAAAATCTGCCGGATAGATAAGCAAAATTCATTAT